TGTGAAACAACCAGAAAGAAAAGAAGACAGAGAAGGTGTTGATGAAACTATAATGGAGGAAAGATGTAAAACCGCCTCAATTGAGAATGAAGAAAGCACGGAAGCATTCACGACCAAGGCACCAAGTCCAGTCAACCCTTACGTTTCTCCCATTCATTTTCCTCAACGGCTCAAGAAGAACAAACAAGATACAAAATTTGAAAATTTTCTTGATGTTCTCAAGAAGCTCCAGTTCAATATTTCGTTGATTGATGCAATACTACAAATTCCAAGCTACATAAAATTTTTGAAAGAGATGTTGACAAAGAAAAGAAAGCTTCAGGAGTTTGAAATTATGGCATTAACAGAAGAAAGTAGTCCAAGAGTACAAAGCAAATTGCCTCCCTAGTTGACAGATCGAGGGAGTTTTACTTTGCCTATTTCTATTGGAAGTTTTTGTGTTATTAATGCATTGTGTGACACCGGTGCTAGTGTAAATCTAATGTCATACTCTGTTTATAGGAAATTGGGATTCGATGAAGTCAAATCAATTTCAATAAAGCTACAACTAGCTGATTCAACAATTTCAAAGCTACGTGACAAAGTTGAGAATGTACTCATAAAAGCAGGAAATTTAATATTTCCGGTGGACTTCATTGTGCTGGACATACCAGAAGAGCGAGACATTCCAATTATATTGGGTCGGCCATTCTTAGCAACGGGACGAACTCTAATTGACATGAAGAAGGGGGAGTTAATATTAAGGGTGGAGGACAAGGAAGAGATATTTAATATTTGCACCCCACTAGAGACACCTTCCAAGAACTATCATCGATGTGGACTTGATGAAGAAGAAACCCCTGATCAATGTAGTTGTAAGAATAGAAGATCAAATTTCGGTGGACTCCTTGGTAGAGATACAAACGAAAATATCAAAACATGGAAAGCACAAAAAGGGTGCACGACTGAAAATTGTATAAAGTGCAATGATGACATAAATTGGTTCGAGCCACCATGATAAAAAATGCCACGGGACCAAGTCTAGCTAGAGACTATAAAGAAGCGCTTCTTGGG